TTGTTCCAGTTACGTTCTGATGAGTGGGTCTAGGGACAAGTTCCCAGACTTTGTTTCGTTCAAACTGGTGAAGCTCTTCTTGCATAGCTATAACCCAATCTGCATCATTCACAACATCATCAATTGTTTTTTGCTCTATTTGAGATAGAAAGCAAGCCATCATACTTTCGTGTATTAAAGCACTCCTTGAATATTCCCAATAACTTGGTCAGGTGGGTGATCTCTAAACCACTGTAGATCTGGTTCGAAAGATAAAGTTTGATTTTGAATATTCATCTCGGGTATGTATGGTAGTTCAACATATATCATTGGTTCGTTTTGTGGTTGTGATGAGGGTGCATTTTCTCTATTTGTAATTTCTGGTTCAACCTGTACTTCAGGTTCATTCATTTTATTTCTTTGATATTTGATGTAATCATCCTCTTGGTCCGAATCTTCTTATTCTCTTTGACTTGGTTCTGCTTGTATGCTAAGATTTTTGATGGATATGTCGTCTTGTGCAGCTTTTTGAACGTTTTCATCAAATTTAACGTGGATAGATTCTTCAATGACCATGGTCCTTTTGTTTAGAACTCTGAACGCTTTACTAGTTGAAGAATATCCCAGGAATATTTCTTCATCCGCTCTTTCATAAAATGCTCTCAAATGATTTTTCCCATTGTTGTGAATGAAGCACCTGCATCCAAAGATGTGAAAATAACTGACAACAGGTTTCTTACCTTTCCATAACTCGTATGATGTTTTGTTGTGAGCTTTGTTGATGAGGGAACGATTTTGAGTGTAGCACGCGGTATTAATGGCTTCGGCCCAGAAGCGCTTGGGAAGACCTGAATATGCTATCATGGTTCGGGCGGCTTCCTTCAAGGTTCTATTTCTTCTTTCGGCTACTCTATTCTACTGAGGAGTTCGTGCGGCCGAAAGTTGATGGAAAATTCCATTTTTTCCACAAAAGTCTTTAATATCTTTGTGTACAAATTCCGTCCCCTGGTCTGATCTGATCCTTATTATGCTGAGACCTTTTTCATTTTGCAATTGTCATAATAAGTCTGGTAAGACTTTCTCAGTCTCATTCTTCTTCCTTAAGAAGTGCGTCCAGGTATATCTTGAGTGATCGTCTACAACGACAAGAGAATACTTTCGTCCACTCAGACTTGCAGGATCAACTGGATCGAATAGATCCATGTGTAGCAAACTTAAAGGACGAGAGTTGGTGTCAGATGATTTTGACTTGAAAGATGCCTTGATTTGCTTTCCTTTCTGACATGCATCGCAAATTCTGTCTTTAATGTAGTTAACTTTCGGTAAGCCTTCCACTAAATCTTTCTTGGACAACTTATTGATGGTTTTGAGGTTCAGATAACTCATCTTGTTGTGCCATTCTAGGCTTAAATCTGCATTACTAGTAGCAACAAGACAAACGTTAGCTTTAGAAAGTTCCCAGGCGACTACGTACATGTTTTTCTTTCGCTTTGCCGTGAGAACAGTGTCATTATTTTCATTGATGATGACTTTGCATTTGTCCTTGGAGAATTCTACTTTGTAGCCTCTGTCACAGAATTGGCTTGTACTTAGTAGGTCGAACTTGAGTCCTTCAACATGTGAGACTCCTTTAATGGTTATTCCATTTCTGATGACATCTCCAACACCTTTCGTTTTTCCACTTGATTCCCCTCCAAAAATAACTTTTGGACCGTTAATTTCTTTATAGTTGCTCAAGTTTGATTTATCTCCGGTCATATGTCTTGAGCATCCACTGTCGACATACCACATGACCTGTTTTCCGTGAAATAAAAAATTATATAACTTTAGGTACCCCTTCGGCTTCGGGTCCTTGAGGGTTAGTGGTCAACTTTGGGATCCATACGAACCTAGAGTTAACTCGACTCATTCTCGGTTCTTTGTACCCATTAAAAACACGATAATCATAATAGATTTTAGCAAAAGTTTTAGCTTTGTATCGCTTTTGAAAATAGTCACCGGGTGGATTGCGATACTGCTTAGAATAATTGGTTTGCTTATACCGATGTATTTTCTCAAATTGCGTTTTTAACAAAGGTTCGGGATAAACAAGTCAATCCTCTTCAGATGGTCCACTCCATCCATTTCCTGTCATTGGTCTTCTAAGTGACCTCTTGGCATGTCTAGTTCGTTCCCCTTTAGGAATTCCTCTCAGAGGATCCTTTCGTGCATACCTGGAACGATTTTGCCTCTGATTATTATTCGGGTTTTCCCTCACTTGGTTATTCCTTGTAGGTTGACCTTTTTGATGGTATAGACTCGGTCTATTACCATTTGATCCATTCCTTTTGATATTGGTATTATGCCTAGGATTACCTTTCAAGTGATTACCATTCCGAGGTTCCACAATTCGTTGTACAGCCTTTCCTTTCGGTTGGCTTGTTGATTGTGGTTGAACACGATTGTTAATCTCATTCATTGGCTCAGACACTTGGGTAGGGCCTTGAAAAAACGCAGACTTAAAGCTTTCACTAGAGTAGACGTTTGTGGGCTTGTTCAATAAAACATGTGAAGGGGAGCTGAGGTCGTAACCAATTCCGGTTCTTTCCCCAGGCGGTTATGATCCATTCACCAATCGATCCATTAAGTTGGATGAACTGTTAAATGAATCAAGAACCTCACGCAATTTTTGCTCCCGCAACTCTCTTTCTGTACACTGCTCTTTAAGAAGATGAACTTGCTTTTCGAGCTGATCTTTTGCGATGGCTAGCTTTATGTTATCGATTCTAACTCACCTTAGCTCATCATAGCTGATCAATAGTCGAGAGTTTTCTTCCTTTAACTCAGAGTATGTGTTTTTGATTACTTTGAAATCCATCATCATCTCAAAGATAGTTTCATTTGGATTTCTTTCACCATCAGAACTGTATTCTATATGGCATGAAAAGGATGTTTGAGAATTTACCTCATCATCATTTGCAACTAGGCAAAGATCATTCGTTTCTTCTTCTTGGTTGAATAGGCATAGAAGACCTTTTTCTTCTTCTGAACTTTCACTTTCTGAGCTCGAGCTTGAGGTGCTTGATTCGGGTTGTGCTTCTTCAGCTGGTTCATTGACCACCATCGCCTTTCTTCTTCTTTCGTTCCAAGAATTTGATGATTCTGGCTTATCGCTTCGCTTGGTGGACTCGCCTGTTTCTTTTGGTGAGTTCTTGTTTGCATTATTTTCTTGATGTTTGCTGACTATTGGGTGAAGACAGTTCTCCTTGAAGTGTCCTGGCTTTCGGCAATTATAGCATAGCATCTGCGAATCCATTTTCTCCTATTTTAACGATTGAGGGGATCTTTCATATTGCCTTCGGTTTGATGATCGTTGAAAGTCTTGGAAGTTGTTCTTCCTCATGAACCTTTTCATTTTTCGCACAAACAAAGCATACTGTTCGTCAGAAAAGAAATCACAAGAGTTAGAGTTCGACCTGCTTGATGTTGATGATTGTTGATTGGCCATCAGGGATAAATTACTTGTTTCGGGTTCTTCAGATTCCCTTGGCTCATGCTCGAATTCATATGCTTTGAGATCACTGAAGATCTTGCTCGTGCTGGTAGTTTTCATGTCTGTGTGATCTCTCATTGCTGTAACCTTCATATCCCAAGATTTTGGAAGCCCTCGAAGAATCTTTAAGTTCTTCTCCCTTTCGGTTAGCTCATTTCCAAGATTTGAGAGATCACCCATGAGTTTTGTGAATCTGAGCTCCATGTCAGTGATGGCTTCATTTGGCATCATTTTGAAGTCCTCAAATTTCTTCATGGCCACGGTGAGCTTGTTATCTTTCTCCGGTTCATCTCCTTCTCTCAAACTCATAAGAGTATCCAAGATTTGCTTCCTGTGGTGCATTTTAGTACTCTTGGGAACAGCGAGTCATCTAGAGACTTGTACAGAATGTCTCGTGCAACATTGTCCAGATTTGCTCGAGTTTTCTCATCTGAGGTGAGTTGAGATTTCAGCTTAGGTATCATGGTCTCTGCATCTACTCCTTGTGCAGCAGCCTGAGTATTTACCATCATTATGGTAATAGGATCTGTGCTTATCACATCCCACATCCCATCGTGGATAACTGAAAGATGTGCCTGCATTCTGACTTTCCAGTCATCAAACTTAGAGAGGTTAAAGGCAAGAGGCCTAGATTTATTAGGATGCTCTCTTTCCATTTCTTGAAAATAGGTGCAAAGATAAAAAAAATTTTAATTTATGCAAAGTTTTATAAAAGGGATCTACCAAGCTGTAAAGCAAAACGTTTACCGTACAAGGCAATCGCTCTGATACCACTTGTTGGTCCCGGTAGGGTTTGAATGAGTCTAGAGGTGGGGTTGGGGGGGGGGGGTGTGAATAGACTCTTTTCGATTTTTACGAGTAACCACCTTTCGGGGTTATACGCAACGGAAGTTAAGTTAACTTTTAGGTTTTCTTTGCACAGTTTCGTGTAAAAATAAACTTAACGTTTGGTCGATGTTGTGTGATATGCAATGCACGAAACTAAAAGCGATAAGAAAAGAGAGAGATGGACAGAGAGATTTTTATAGTGGTTCGGCCAACTGTGCCTACTCCACTCTTCTTTCACAACTTGTGAAAGGGTTTGCACTATCACTCCTAGTACAAACTACTTCAAGATGGCTTCCTTGATCATTATGCTAGACAACCACTTGAAAGGTTTTTCAACTCTTGAAGTTTACTCTGCCTCTATCAACTTCTTCCTAAGTTGAGTTGTTGGAAAGGAAATCTGATGAGTCTCCAACAGGGTGAAGCTTGTCTTGACGTCTTGATGGATCTTCGCTTGATGAAAGTACAAGACTGCTTCAAGTTGTGAAGAATGAGAATAGTATGCCTTTGAAAAACTTCACAACAAACACTGGTTATGAAAAGCTGAGAGAATGGAACTGCCTTAAGGAACTTTTCTTTAGATTGAGAGAGAGTGTTAACCAGCACCTTCTTCAATGGAGAAGAGAGCTATTTATAGGTGGAAAATTCCATACGTTGGAGGGAGATGAAATAAAAAAAACATCTTCCAACGTTATGTAACTTCGAGTTTATGCAGTGCTTCCAACCAAAAAAGTTGGTGGAATATGTGAAGTCGCCCCTGTTTATTTTCCAATCAGGGTTCGATTCATTTCAGGTTAGCTCCACTTAATATATTGGTATATTTACATGCTTAATATTAATTTTATTTTTTGGTAATTTTAATTTGTGGCTTCTTAATTAGTGCGAAACACTTTCTCAATGGATTTGTACCAGGCCATTAAGAATCATTCATCAATTAACCCAAGCCATATGGCTCTGCTACAAGGCATGTTCGCATTTTTATTACAAAATAATTTTATTCAAAAAATTAAATTAATTTCAATTTGACATTATTTAAATTTTTTGTTTCAGATTTTAAACAACAAATAATAATGGCATTGCCACACTCCTCTGCGACCAAAGAATATATTGTGACTTCTACTTTTGGGCATAGCTTTGCTTTCGCCTCTTATAAGAAGCCAATGTTTGCAGATACGAATTCTGAGGTAACAAAATAAAGTCTTGTATTAACATTAAAAAAAAAAAAAAAAAAAAAAAACCTGTCTTGTAGTCTTTGCGGACGAAGGACCACGAGGAGGTAACCTATACATTATGACATATAATCTTTTTTTTTTTTTTACCAGCCCATCGAGAGAGCATTCCGTGACTGGTATTTTGACAAACAACCTATCAATTTTATAGACCCAAGCAATGTGCCATATTACCCAGGCACATTGTCAAATTAAACAGGTTGTTTTGTTCACTAAACCTCTCACACTGGAAGTTGAGGAAGCTGACAGAAAACATGAAAACTTGATTCAGGTTGCAACACATGTAGATGCAATATGGACTTGTAGATTTGCACAATGCTGAAAATATATATAGATGTAATGAAATTGTCTACCTTTTATAATTAAAGGTTTAGTTTTTTTTTTTTTTTTTTAGGTTTATGATTTTACTTTTTAAATTTGGTTTAAAAGTTTACTTAAGAGTTTATTACTTATTGTTTACCTTTAGAGAACACCTAACAATAATATAAAGTACACTGAGCAACAATTTGATTTAATTAATGAAATTAATTAAAATATCATAATAGATTTAACAAGAGTTCGACCAAGAATAAGCACCGGCCCCTACAAAGGATAAGAATAGTATATATATATATATATATATATATATATATATACATATACATATACATATACATACATATATATATATATATATATATATATATATATATACACACACACACACATATATATATATATATATATATATATATATATATATATATATATATATATATGATCACAAGTGAAGAAAATTAAAAATTAATCTCAACTTTACATGTGAAGTAATCATAGAAATCATACCAATTTTTTTAAAAAAGGACATTTTCGTACTCACAAACTTTGTTATACAATCTAGATTTACATGGGGGTACCCATGTAAATCTAGATTTGTGTGTATATATATTGTCATAACGGATAAGATGATCAAATTGAAAGGATATTAATACTAACTTGTGAAATTAAATTTTCCTCTTTTTAATAATTATTAAAATATAAATTAAGTTTATATATTTTACGCAGAATTGATGTATTGAATTAAATTATAATAGTTATTATTATGCTAAATTTCATTCGTAAGTAATGGTGGGCAATCAAATGAATCAATCATTGTAGAACATGAAAATGAATCAATCACGTGGGTACATACGTGGATAGAAAATTATAAATTAGTAAAAATAAAAATAGACACCTTCATTAGTGGAAAAAAAGTTTGTTCAATTAAAATAAAATGACAATAAATGTTCTTTGTCGCCTATCCTTTTCTCTATTTTATTGCAATATAAAAGTAAACAAATAATATAATATACCAATTACTATGTAATTTGATGAAATTTCAGTTATCATTTTAAATGGATGGTCATAGGTTCCATCACTTTCTCTACCTTTATTATAACATTGGTCTGTTGGTATAAACTAGTTGGTTTGTAAGTTTAATTACGTATGAATATGTTGAGTGGAAAGGTTTTTTATTTTAATAATAATTAATTTATAATTGAATGTATATAGTTTCGAGAGAAATTATATTGAAAAATTGTTGTTAATCCATTCGTTAATCATACATTCACTGTTTGTTAAAACAAATACGGTGACATTTTTGTATATAATTAAACTTTGAAGTGAAAGTAAATTGTGATAAAAGTGCAAGTAACAATTTTATATAGTGCATCTAAGTACAAGTAAAATGTATTAAAAGTGAAAGTAAAATGTATTAGAAGTGCAACAAATTAAATAATATATATTGAGCATCAATATTAAGTGCACTTAACGTTATCATTAGTTGCATCAAACGTTATTAGGGATGGCAATGGGTCGGGTGTGAGTCGGGAAGGACTACATCCATCACCCGATCCACCTTATATTTTTCTCCACCCACCCCCACCCCTAACCCGCATTGGGTAGGCTTTTTCAAAACCTACCCCACCCCCACCCGGTGCGGGAGCCCACTACAAGTACTCACCACTTACTATCTTTTTTTTTTTTTTTTGCCATAAAATAATATATGAATTACTTATAATAACAAAATAATAAAATTCATTAGTCATACTAAAACATAAAATAATACAAATATTTAAATATAATAACTAAATTGTTAATTTTTAAAAATAAACTTAATAGTTTAGATATAAAAATAGTAAAAAGTTACACGAAGTTATAAAAACTTTTATAAATAACTACATACTAGTTTTTATTTTAATATTATATATATTTAGACACATACATATGGGTCGGGTGGGATTCTATTCGGGTTTTATACATAGAACCCGAATTCAACCCGACCCACCGTATCGCGGGTTTATTTTTTTTAAAAGACCCACCACCCAAAAAAACCCGACCCATGCGGGTGGATTCGGGTGGATATCCGCGGGGCGGATTGAAATTGCCATCCCTAAACGTTATCACTAATTGCATCCGTATGAAAGACGTTATTATTAGATGCACCAATGTTAAAATGGTAAATTACTTGCAGTATTAACTGGAAATGATTGTACTTTTAAATAATTTTACTTGCACTTTTATGTGCACACTTGCATCAGTTACTAGCACTTTTAATATATTTTATTTGCACTTTGCACCGAAGTTCGAATTATTTACGAAAATGTCACAGTGTCTTTTTTAAAAAAAATTACATCTGATCCGTTAAATATGAACACGTGGACAGCTATAATTGATTCGTAGTTCTTTTTTTTGTGCAACCATTCTCACCTGAGTGTGGCTCTCTCTCTCTCTCTCTCTCTCTCTATATATATATATATATATATATATATATATATATATATATATATATATATATATATATATATATATATATTTCAGGGCTGTTCCTGGACATGATTGCCTAGGACGCTTGCACAAGGCCCCCTTGAATTTGGGGGCCACAATTAGAGAACATATATATAGTTATATACATATACTTCACTGCCTGCTGTATAGTATATGTATATATATAATTTTTTATTTTTTAACAATTGGCCCCAAAATTTGGGGGCATAATTGTAGAAAAAAAAAATTATATAGTTATATATGTATATTATGTGAGTTATATATATATATATATATATATATATATATATATATATATATATATATATATATGTTCTATTTGGTAAAATAATTAGTTTATCTGTCAATTTTAATTTATTTGACTATTATTAGAAGTTTGACTTGATTAAAAAAAAATTAATATAAGTGTTTGGTTAATCAGCTTTTTGTAACTCAAAAAAATTGCTTAAAAAGTAATTTTTTCAATTGGATTTTTTAGAAAATAAATTATACCAAACAACTATCAGCTAACATCTAATTTACCAAACACCTTTCTACAATCAGCTAATATTATCAACTAGGCATATCCTCTAATTACCCAATCAAATAACAGCTATTAGCTGACATCCATTTACAAAACGAGACCCTAATTTTTTTTACAATTAGGCCCCAAATTTGGGGACAAATTTGTAAAAAAATAAATAAAAAAAAATTATATACTTATATACATAGATTATATGAGGATTGTCAACCCGATTACCATTTCAAAGATGTTCATAGGTTTGAACCCCGGTTGTGGGGGCTTAGATTCTTTGATTTTCTAGAAGTGGTCTGAGTGGAGGTTGTCGGTCGGTAGTATACTGTATACAAGTTATGAATTTTGAAAACTGAAGTTCTTTATTAGGTAGTTTAATCAGGATCTAGAGGAGTGGTCCAAGGTGTACAAAAAAAAAACTCTTGGATGTAAATTGTCACTACTACAGAAAACGGTTTTAACGTCGGTTAAAATACCCCATTTAACGTCGATTATCTTTCGACGTCGTCTTAAGAGACGTCGTAAGTAAATGATACGACGTCATATGTAATATACGGCGTCGGGTTTTAGGTAAAAGCCGACGCCGTATATATATATATATATATATATATATATATATATATATATATATATATATATATATATATATATATATATATATATATATATATATATATATATATATATATATATTTTAAAAAAAAATAATTAACATACGACGTCGGCTTTTAGGTAAAAGCCGAAGCCGTATATATTTATTATTTTTTTAAAAAAAAAATAATTAACCTACGGCGTCGGCTTTTAGGTAAAAGCCGACGCCGTGTATATATATATATATATATATATATATATATATATATATATATATATATATATATATATATATATATATATATATATATATATATATATATATATATTTAAAAAAATAATTTACATACGACGTCGGCTTTTAGGTAAAAGCCGAAGCCGTATATATTTATTATTTTTTTAAAAAATAATAATTAACCTACGGCGTCGGGTTTTAGGTAAAAACCGACGCCGTATATATTTATTTTTTTTAAAAAAATAATAATAACATACGGAGTCGGCTTTTACCTAAAAACCGACGCCGTATGTTATTATTTTTTTTTATTTATATGCGTTTTATGTTTTCTACCCAACCTGTATCAATTTTCAAATCCTGCGCAGCTAGCAATTTAACATTCAACATTCAACATCAACTAATTTATTAAACTAATTCAAACTATTAAACATGAAACTAATATAAAGAACACAATTCATTAAGCTAATTCAAGCTACTAAACATAAAACTAATATAAGTACCACAATTCAACAAAACTACTAAACATTAAGCCAATAAACATAAACTAATTTTAAATGTAAAATATCAAACTATTAAACATGAAACTAATATAAAGAACACAATTCATTAAGCTAATTCAAGCTACTAAACATAAAACTAATATAAGTACCACAATTCAACAAAACTACTAAACATTAAGCCAATAAACATAAACTAATTTTAAACGTAAAGTGTCAACTAAGAAGCGTTTTATTAACCCATTCATCAATAAGAAACTTAGACCATTTGTCTCTAACTTCATCAATCTCTTTTTTGTTGTAGGGCAATCTTCCTTGTCTTTCCAAAGCCTACAAAGTTCAAAAGAAATAAAATTAATAAATAAGCAAGTATTTTTAAACATTTGAAGCCAAAAGATATATTAAGAAATTACTTGCCTTATCCATTCCTTTGCTTAGATTGTTGGAAACAATTTCCAACATGAACTTCATCACATAATAACCACATTCGGTGGATCCCTTTTGTATAGCACACTACATTGAATTACAATAAAAATAAAATAAATTAATAAAAAAAAAACAATAAGTTTGCATGTTTTACAAAGTGAATGAAGTACTTACCGAACATATAGTCCATTTTGGTGAACGATTTTGTTTCTTTCCACTCATCATGTTTGTTGCAGTTATACACATATTAATATAAGACATAGAATATATATAAATACTTGGCAACACTAGTTTAATGAT